TTTCAGTCTGAAGAGCAGCTTCTTCACCTGTTAAAATGGTCTTTAAAGCCTTAGATTGTTCTTTTCTTCTATTTAATAGATCCCAAAAGAGCCAGTAGTGAAAAAGGGTCAGTAGTTGTTGGAATCCCTAGATACCCCAGTGTTTCTTAACCTCGCTGTGCTTTCCGCCTCTGCTGAGATTTTGCTGCCCAGCCTTTAGAAGGATGTGCCCTGTGCACCTCGCTGGGCAGCGGGCAGCGGGCAGCGGGCAGCGAGCAGCGGGCGGCACACTTCTCCTCGTCTGAGGTTTTCTAGTAAATGGAACTGGAAGGAAACTTCTTTTCTCAGATGAAAAACAAGTGTGGATTTTGCCATATGCTTCAATATTTCCCAGTTATAATGTTGTGATAATAATGCTTAAAATTCACAAACTGAAGAAAAGGAATATATTTTAAGACAAGTTTTGCCTAACAGTCTCTAAGAAAGCTTTGCTAATAACTGGTATTATTAATAATTAACATATTTGAAGTAGTTGGATATTCTGTTTGTGACAACGAAATCCAGTGGGATTACTAAAAGCAATAATAGACGATTTAGTTCTTAATATATAAAAGTTCAAATAAAAATGTAATTAAATTGATATGGTGAATTATCATACATAGTGTCCGTATTCTCCATAACTTAGGACGCTTTCCTGTTGCTATTGTTTTCTGTAAGAAAAAGAAAAACCATTAGAGTCTGTAAGTTTTTGAGTCAGCATTAAATGCTAAAGAATGAATTTTCTACAGGGTTAACATTAGTCACTTGTGTTTAATGACTCAAAGAATATTCTTCCTTTTTAAATTTATTATTAAAGAAATACAGGAGATGGCATCATTTTCCACCTTCTTACCTCCAATCTCTGAAATGCCTAGCCTGCAAAAAATTCGTAGCAACAAATCATATCGTAATTGATGAATTCTTTGCTCTAATATTCTGTTATCCTTGTACAGTCTTCTATATTGGATTCCTCATGTTCACTGAGACACTCGTGCCATTGTTTGCAGCAATCTGAGGAACAGTTTTGTTTCCAGTATTATGAAAACACTGAGAGCCAATTAAGTCATTAGTACCACAATGAAATTGAGTCTGCCAGAAATGTACCATTTTATTACTTTGGGGGAAAAATGTGACTAAAAGACATTGTTCATAGTGCCTTGTCCCTGTGTCACCATCTTCTGTGGGTATATAATCCCCAAGACAAAGCGTGCCTGTTCTAGAAAAATACCAGTAAAAGTAATTAAAGTCTACACCCAATATAGAATACTCTGATTGTGAATTTAAAATTTAAAACATTACGTAGGAACTATTGTAAATGTGATAGCAGACTATAATAGGTTCATCCTTGGAAAAGGCATCACAGTATTGATAGGCTTTGTTGAGGGTCATAGGTTATCCATCAGTTAAACAAAAAGTTGAGCTTCAGTGAGTGAGTCTCACAGTGATTTTCTGCAGCCCTGAAAGTCAGAGACAGCCTGTCTGCTGGTTGCCTGACGGAGGCAGTGTATTCGGGTTCCATGTTCCCATTCAGTTTGGCTCTTTGGGTGGAGACTGAGTTTAATTATCACAGGATGGCCAAACCCTAGTATCCTGGACCCTTGGGAGGAGGATTGTGCGTGCGAGGCAGTCCTCACGTGGCTCAGCTGTCCCAGGGCTGGGCAGGCATCCCTTGCACTGGACGTTCCCAGGTAGATGCAGATTTTTCCTTGAAGGCCCTCACTAGGCACGGGAAGAACAGCTAATGTGGCCCTGCATCCCAGACAGTGGGGGTGTGGGCTGTAGGCCCCGGATAAGCTCCCCGAAGGCTCTAATACTGGCAAAGCGCAGCAGCCTTTAAGCTCTGACTTCATTTTTCTACGTATCATTGTCACCAACCAGTTTTACCCCTCAAGTCAGTCTATTTAGCTCCTCGTTGTTCATGATGAATTTTCTTTGCTTTGAGTAGTTGCTCTCTTAGGTATTATTACAAAAATGTTTAAACTGTAGATGACCTCTTACAGTTTTTTTTTCAGATGACATTTATTTTTCCGTTAGCTTACAGTTCTATTTGAAATGAAGTCATGTAACGCACTTGTTAACGTTCCTGTCGCGCAGCTCAGAATTGTTCCGGGTTGAGAACCTGTGGACAGTGTCTGGAACAGCCTGGGTGTGGCTGGTGCAACGACCCTAGTGACACAGGAAGAGGGCACTGCCTTGAAGGATCTTCACGGGGACCCATGAAGCTCATAGGAACGCACAGTAACGAGATGGTTCTTGACACCAGTCTTTGTCCCAAAGAAAAGAACTATGAGTGGTCCTTTATCCAGTGTCCAGGTAATAAAAATGTGATGAAAATAATTTCAGTTTTTTCAGACAGTTCAGTTTTCAATCAAATTATTTTCAAACAATTTCAAGACCAAGAATATATATTTTTTTCTTTCTTGTACTAAAGATTTAGGAAAAAATAATGAAGACAAGGCTCAAAATTCAGAGATAAAAATATACATTCTACCCTATATCCATCTCTGTTATATAGATGACATTCTGTTCGGAATTATGAAATAGGCTGACTAGTCATTGCGTATGGTTATTAGATTTGGTTTTATGTCAGTTGTTAAGGGGAAATAATATTGATTTATGCCTGTGTTCTGCCCTAGTATTATAATATTTTAGACTTCAAAGGTAACTCTGAGGATCCAGTCAACCTTCACGCTAAGTATGGGAATTTTCTCTATAAAATACCTATGATGGAGCCTACTGGCCTCATTTTGAAAGTTGCCTTTGGTATTTTCTACCATGCAGTTTTGAAAGTCAGTAATAATTACTCATTTTCAGGGAGTTCTTTTGGTCCCAAAGGAAGTCTTTTCTAACAACCTTCTTAAAAAATCAATTTATTCATTATATTTTAATTGAGTGCCTACTATGTGCTAAGAAATATTTTAGATGTTAGAGATCTAACAGTTAACAAATAAGACTAAAATCATTGCATTCATGGAACCTGTAAACTGATTGAAATTACACATACACATACACCTCAAGTAAATGAGGGAGTTTACCCATTTAAAATGTATAACTCAGCAGTGTTTATTATATTCACAGAATTATGCAATCATCACTACAACCCATTTAAAAACATTTTTATCGC